GTTGTGTTCGGATTCATATTTTGCTAGCATCTTGAAGATTATACTTCTTAGCTTTGTATTTCATGTCTTTTGTATATGTCGGCTTGAGAAGCCTTTTGATCAAGATGTAACATGCACTTTATTTTATTTGTATTCAAGTTGTAAAACCATGTTAAAATGTATGTCATTTCATTTGATCTACGCACAGCTCTTATGGACTATGTAGATTTAAATTTATTGTTTCCGCACATGTAAGCCCCATGTGTATACTCTGATTGTATGAATCCTTGTAAGTTGGCCTTTGGTAATCTCGGATTACTGGTCATCACAGTACCATTTTATTAGGGGCGGAATGGGGTCGTGACCGATACAGTCCTACACCTCGCAGACCACCAAATCATGGACCAAAGGAATTCAAGAGAGTGGCTTTTGGGAATGGGTTGACTTGGTGATGGCGGATAATATGAACTTTGAGGATCTTGAAAAGTTTTTTGACTAAAGGCAAAGTTGGTGCATTATGTATTATCTTAGAGATACCATACCTATAAAGATTGTCACAACTCCATGATGTTTGGTGTTGTGGGGCTGCTGCTCAGCGGTAATTTTGGAATGATGTTTCTAATCAAGTTTGGGGCTGCTGCAGAGTTGATTGAGTAGGGCTACTGCTGCTCCTGATGTTGGTTTTTGGGCTAATCTTGAAGTGCAGTTGCTGTGGTTGGTTTGAGGCTGGTGATCTGTGGGGGTAGTTTTTGGTCTGTTTATTGCTGTTTTGATCTGTTTTGAGCTGTCAACTAATTTTGGTCTGTTTGTTTCATTATTTTATTGCCGTCTGGTAGGTATCAGGTTTGGTTAGCTTTTCTGGGGTGATGTTGTTTTTGGTGTTTGTGATTGGTTCCTCATCAATTTGTGATGGTGTGCTAGCATATGATTGGGCGGTTTTATTGGTACCAATCTAGTTGTGATCGATTTGGTTCGATATGATGCTTTTTGCACTAATATTTTATTTTTATTTTTATTAATGTAATAGTTTTCTGTTTCATCAACAAAGTTCATTTTCTTTGCTGACAAAAAAAAAATAAAAAATACCATAGGTGTGTCTCACCTAGTATTCAAATATATAACTTGTAATACAGTTGCACTTTCAATCTCATTAAGTGTTCATAGGCAAAAGTTATTGAAAACCAAATAAAATGAAATGAATATAGGGATTGGCTTAGTGGCCAACAGTGTACCTCACTAAAAGCTCATGGGTTCAACCGTCTTCCATGTAGTAATTATATGGACATCAGTGTAATTTCACTACAAAAAACTGAGGTTTTAGAGAGTAAAATTTAGGAATAAAATTATTTTTAGAGATCAAATAATTTTATTGTGAAAAGTGTTGTAATTATAGTTTTAGAAACGAAAATTGGACATTAGTGATGAATTATTATCCTTTTGAGACCAAATTTTTTGTCTAAAAAAATAAACTATTTTGAGACAAAATTATTTTGTCCCTAAAAATCTATTGGTTAGTGACATTGTCAAAATTTTGTCGTTAAATGCCTTATTTTTTACTTTTCGGGACGATCTTTTAGCGACTATCCTCATGATGATGGAAATTGGTCCCTAAATGTCTTTTGCAACAAAATTTTCACTTTTAGAGACCAAAACATTTGATCTCTAAAACTCTTATATGTTGTAGTGTTTATATATTTATTTATTTTTACAAGAATTGTCAAAATTCCTACTTAAGTTGTACATATAATCCTATCTAACAAAATAATAATAGTAATAATACATATTATTATTTTTGTCTAAAATACTGACAATTAACAACTGGGCCACATTGAAATGTAATTAAAAACATGAAGTTTAAACAATAAAATAGTAACTATAGTAATCAAAGCGAAATTTTGCCCAAAATAAAGGATTAAAGAAAAAAGTATAAAATAACTCAAAGCTTGAAAGGCGAACAAACATATATGTAAAAGTGTAATTGGCTTACAGTTGGTTGATCCATTGTATCTCATCCTGAGATATCTCAGATTAGGTGATGACTTGAGAAAAGATGCTAATAGAGGGACTCTGAAACTGTCCTTGTAAGGACCATCATGTATAGTCAAGTGCCGTAAGCTCTCCAATGACATTGCTGGAGCACAATCTTGGTTACATAGCATCTGCAATTTTCAGTATCAATTAGTACCACCAATAGAAATACAAAAATAAAAAATAGAAGAAAGAAAGCAAGAAAAGGAGCAAATAACTACAAAATTAGTAATATACAAGTCAGGCACTGAATAGCTAATCCTATCCGAGTTTAGTTTTGCCCATAAGGCTATCTTGGGTGGTTGTGTCCTGTTTTCACTTGGGTGGTTATGCCCTGTTGCTTTGCTGGTGTGGTATTTCAGTTTTGTTTGTTGGTGTTGCTATCTTGTTAGCTTCTCACCAACTCTTGAGGTTAGTGCTAATAAATGATAGGATATTCTCCTCAGTGCTAACCTAATTGAGATTAGACAAATATATTGTCATGCTTTATGCACTTCCTCCACTTTATTAATATATTTCCATACTTTGTATATGACAATTCCATCAATAAAGTTGTTTCTTTTAGTTGATCAAAAAAAAAAAAAAAAGTAATATACAAAAAGACTGGACTTTTCTCCGTGTCAAATATGGTCGAACTGTAAATCAATAATGAAAAAAATTAGATGAAATTGGATATCCTAGCCATTGAAATTGATATCGTCAAAAAAATGCACATGTATGATTTTGATAACATATGACAAATATAATAAAATGATGTGTTTATGATTATCAGTCTTGAATGATTTGTGCACATAGGCTTAGAAGATCAAAGTAATAATTATTAAAAACAATCACGTGTAGCTAAAAATTTGCCAAATACGACCACCCGACTGTGAGAGAAGTTCAATCCTAAAACAAATATAAACTAGATAAAATAAGAGAAGAAAGAAAGAAGCAAAGGTAGGTACAAGAACAACGTACAAAAAAAAAAATTAAATGTGAAAGAAGAATGCCATTGAATACCTTAATAAACCTGTCACTTAATTCCATTTTTCTTGCTTTGCTTAGGCAGCAAAAGAACTTTATAAAGCTGTCAATCACGGCCTTTACAAGAGGATAATCTGAGACAATAACAATGGCAATTTCCAGAGACTTGACGAGCAATGGATTAACAACTCTGAACTTGATCAACGACAACTCCTGCAGCGAGTTGAACTCTACATTGGGCAACTTGAGATTACCCCAATTCAAGTTCAGTTTTAGAACCCGCAATGATGAGCAGTTCAAGGCACAAAGAGGCAAGCAAAATGTATTTTTCAAGGCAATGTCAAGATCAAGCTCTTGAACACGACACATGGTTGCGTTATACATCCATGTCACTATACGATAATCCATGTCGTAGTTGAGGTTGCGGTAAAAGAATGGGTAATCAATACGAAGGCGGAATAAGTCTGCCCCATTGCGAAGATGCAAGAATCTCTCGACAAATCAGGTAACACTGTCTAATTCTTGTTCCTTGATCGGTTTTACACCCCAGAATGTCTTTAAATTCAATGATGATTCAAAAGATATATTCAAGCAAGGCATACAGAAGCAAAGCTGTCTTAGCCTACTTGACAACGTGCACACACACATGAAATGTCTCTCATATGAAGCAATGAAAAGATGTCATAAATTAACCGGTCAAACTTGTAGTTGGTCTTTTTCAATTGTGGTTCCATGACCAATTGAAAACCTAACATAACCAAATAATAATAATATTAATAATCTAACAGTTAAAATAAAATACAAAGCAAATTTTGCTTGATAGATTAATATCTGAATATAGTAATAATGAAAGAAAGAGCAAGTAAAAGAGTGGAATAATACCTTGTCCCCCAATGACTCAAATCTTCTTTCACTACTAGAAAACTGACCTTTTGCTACTATATAATTTGCGACCATCTGATTAGCCGTCGCAAATAATCAATTTATCCCTTTATTTTCTTCTATTTATTTTCCCCTTTTCTTTATACTTGCCCTAGCCCCTCCACAGACACCGATTGTTCTCTTTCTCTCGCTCTCTCTCTCTATCGGTCTCACAGTAATACGACTGGTATGAATCTCTCTCTCTCTCTCTGTCTCCCTCTCTGTCTCCCCCTCAATCTCGCTTTGTCTCTTTCTCTCAATCTCGTGCTCTCTCTCCTTTGATCTTCTCAAATTAGCACCTCTACTACACATGTATATGTACCTCTATATATTATGTATGCGTTGTGAATATCAATGTTTGAAATTGAATTTATTCTGTTGAGGTCCGAGCAAGAATCGAAGTAGACGTCCTCAATCGGTCTCACAGTAATATGACTGGTATGAATCTCTCTCTCTCTCTCTCCCTCTGTCTCCCCCTCAATCTCGATTTCTCTCTTTCTCTCTTTCTCTCAATCTCGTGCTCTCTCTCCTTTGATCTTCTCAAATTAGCACCTCTACTACACATGTATATGTACCTCTATATATTATGTATGTGTTGTGAATATCAATGTTTGAAATTGAATTTATTCTGTTGAGGTCCGAGCAAGAATCGAAGTAGACGTCCTCAACTTCCTCAAGATCTTGAACTCTTCGACTCCGACAATCTCATATTTCTTTGGTTTGCAATTTTGCTTCAAATCTCTACTCTCGAAATGTGTATATATATATATATATATATATGCGTGTGTGTTTTTGTGTTAAGCATTGAGTCACTGTTGATTTTAATTTGACAAATTTGGGGATTTTTGAGTGTGTTACAGATCAATAGAAGATGGAATAATAGCTGAGGGTTTGAGTGTGTTACAGATCACTAGTACACATTGCCTCAGCATATGTATCCTTAAATTTAGGCTATTAGGTTTTTGGCCATTCCATTGATGTCTCTTTTTTTTTGCATCTCCCTGCTTAGTTGTTTCAATGTGAAATTTGCATGGTTTGTCTGTTGGTTGTTTACTTCTTTGGATTTCTGGAGTTAAATAAGAATGTACCTTGACTTTGCAGATACATAAGAAAAAAATGAGTACATTGGACGTAGCTAGAGCAGAGCTTGGCCTTGCGGTTCTGTATTTGAACAAAGCCGAAGCCAGGGACAAGATATGCAGGGCAATACAATATGGTTCAAAATACTTGAGTAACCGGGAGCCTGGCACAGCCCAAAATGTTGACAAATCAACTAGCTTGGCACGGAAAGTGTTCCGTCTTTTCAAGGTCAGGCTTAGTTGCATCTTTTGGTAATAAAATTGTCTTTTTCACTCATCTTCTCTGGTCTCGTAGTTAAGTACCTTTAAATTGTGGAGAATTTTTTTTCCTATATTTATTCTTGCTTAATGTCCATTTATTTGGTGTATAAGGGTAACTGTTTTGTTATTCATGCTGTGAAATGACAGCTGACCTCAAAAGGTTAGATGAAGAATTTTCTGGGAAAATTAGTAGGGAAAAAAATAATTCTGATTGGAATTCATATCTGTATGGCACTTTTATTCTTGGGCTTATCTTAGGTTTGTTATTTATGCAGTTTGTCAATGATCTGCACGCGCTCATTAGTCCAACTTCTCCTGGAACACCCCTTCCCCTTGTTTTGCTGGGAAAGGTACAAAATGGTTTGCTGACTGAATGTTTTTCTAATTAATTTACACATGATTTACTTTTTTGTCATTTTCTTACCACTTTGCTTTTTTCTCAGTCCAAAAATGCACTGTTGTCTACTTTCTTGTTTCTGGATCAAATTGTCTGGCTCAGTAGGACAGGCATTTATAAGGTATGGAATGAACTTTCTCCTCATGCTGGAATGTACTTTTTTATTAGATGTAATGTAAGGCATGCTTGCAATATGATAAATTGTAATTGAAATTTTGATTGTTCATAATTACCTATGCTTATATTAAAGGGCTTGAGTGGAGTGTTCTGGTGTTCCTTCTAAATGAAGAAAAAAAAAATTAAAATTGTCCCTTTTTATTGTTAGTGTTTTTCCGGATTTATTATTCGACAGCCATGGTTAAGTCAGTTTGAGTTTTCACTTGTAGGAGAAGCACACTCAATGAAAGTAGAGAAGATTTTGTGCAAGGATAAATCAGAGTACCAAGAAATCCTGGTTTTTGAGGTTCAGCATTTTCATCTCCTAGTAGTAGATTGTCTTTGTAGTGATGACTTGCTTTCTGTTTTTCTGCCATTTATTGTCTTATTTATGAATTTCCTGTTGATACTGGTTCTTTTATTTGCAGTCCTCAACATATGGGAAAGTTCTTGTGCTTGATGTCATTGTTCAGTTGACTGAGAAAGATGAATGTGTCTATCAGGAGATGATAACTTATCTTCCCCTTTGTTCAATTCAATCCCCCAAAAACCAAAACTGTAATTTTCATAAATCATGGGTTCCATAGTTCATGATGAGTTTACTGTTTCTATTTTTATTCAAATTTAATTTCAAATGACATATAGCTATACTTAGATTATTGAAATTATAATGCAATTAAGTGTGAGGAACCTTTTGAATCCATAGCAGCTTCTTTTTTTCTTTTCTTTTATTCTAGTTGAACTTTAATAGGCATATGTACTTAGAGATACATTTGAAGTTAAATGTCCAACTACA